CTTAACAATGCTTAACACAGAGTTAAAGATTTTGGTCAAGGTCCAGGTGAACCATCTGCAGGTTGTGCTTGATTGTCTTATATCCCTTTGAACACACTTGCGCTGTAAAAGGTCAGACAATTCAAGATAACATTCATTTGATTTTCACGATCATTGAGAAAGTCAATGGAGAATGCTGATCAATTTGGAAAGTCAATGGGCAACGCTGATCAATTTGGATCAGTTCAAGGCCTTTGATAGGGTAGGTCATCATTTCTTGGAGGCTGTCTTGTCCATAGCTGAATTTGAGCTGGACTTTCACTCCTGGATTTCATTTTTGTACACGAACCCTGCTGCTATGGTGGAGGTGAGATTGAAACTTTTCATCTTGTCCAGATCCATTTGTCAGGGCTGCCCACTTTCACCTTTGATCTATATGCTTGCACTGGAGCCTTTCTTATGTAGGTTGAGGGCAAACCCAGTCCTTGGCAGGATTACATTACCTGGTGCCACAACTTCAGCCAGATACACTGCCTTGGGTGACAATGTTTTCACATTTGTAATGAGCAGTGCTGAGATCAACAAAGCCAGAAGAGAAATTCAGAGTATGAGACAGTGACAGGGGCAAAGATTAACAGAGATAAGTCTGTTGGCTTGCAGTTGAGTTCATGGAAAGATTCACCTCTCAATTGGATGGATGGGCTGTGTAAGATACTCAGCATCTGGTTCAGTCCTGACATCCAACTGGAGAAGAATTGGTCAGATCTAACTGGAGAAAGTTGTAGCTGTAGTTAATTCCTTGCTGCGAAGAAACTTTTTCTTGAAGGAGAGGGCTGAGGTGTGCATTACGTACATCTACCCTGCATGCTTTAGCATCTTTCAGTTCTGCCATTCCCATACAGCACTCTAGTTCCTCTCCTCTGGGGGTGGCAAAGTTCCCATGGTGTATCATGAGGTTGCCACATTCATCCTTGCAAGGGCAATCTAAGAATACTAAACATAGAGACTTGTTGAGATACTTTACAACTGCATTTCCTGGATTGGAGGTGCTCACAGGATGACAGAAAGGAAGATGCCAAAGCGTGTTTTCCATCTTTGAGGAGCATGCACTCAGCTGTGGGGGAAGATCACTTTTCCTCCAAGGTGACTGCTCCCTCTACTGCAAATGCCGTCATGTACTGAAGGTTCTTTCTTGGATATAGGCTGGCCTTTCTGAGATTCAACCATAGTTGAGAGGGGCATTATATCGTGTGTTAGTCAGGAGAGTCAATCACAGCAATAAGATCAAGGTGCTTGGTCTGACAAGGAGGAATTTTTATTCCATATGGCCTTGATCACCCAGGTTAAAATACCTCACTAACAAGGAGGCATGACTCACCCACTTTGCTGATGAACATGCTCTGGGTTGGCAAAAAGTCTTTCACAGCAGGACTTTTGCTTCATCAGAATGCGTCCAGTGTGGTGGAATGGAGGAGTCTGTTGAGCATGCTTTATTTTCACTGCCCACTGTGTAAGCTTATTGAAGGTGATATAGGTTACATGCTGCCCAAACAATTCTTTATCCTTGATGTCAGTTTTGTTTGTAGCAACATGAACTCATTGTCAGACAGGAGGAAGCACTTTATATTTCTGAGCTTGTTAACCGTGATGAGAATGGTGACATGGATGATAAGGATGAAAGAAGTTCACTGGACACTGTCTCTCTCTTCCCATTACCTTATTGCATTCTTCAAGCACCAGCTTTCTTCCAAGATAAATTTTGGGTATATATTTCACAGAGTAGTAATGATCTATATTGGGATTTACCATGTTGTCCAAATTTTTAACATCATAATTCAGGCATTTTTTGTAACCTGCTGGGATATCTTCTGTCGGATATTTCCACATTAGGTTAATTTCCCCCCATTATTGGTTGGATTTTTTGAGTGTCCAATTTTGAATTTCTTCTTTTTCCTCCCCACAAGGATTTCACTCCAAATAGTTGGGAAGTAGTGTAGCATTTTCTTCAACCAGAAGTGAAGAGTTGCTAGATATGATAGGAATTTCAAAATTTTCAATAAATTTTACACACTCTTTTAACATTGTTAGTTTCTGAGTTATCTAACATGATAGGCACGATCTGATTTATCATAGTGTTTGAAAATTGTTTTTTTACATTTAGTGTCCAATTTCTTTCCACTTTTTATGTAGGCATAACAAACTGTGTCAAAAATATGCATTAACAAGGTTATGTTTGTGACCTGTAAAGTCAGTTTTTTCATTTCTTTGACTATAACACTAATTTCTAATATATACAGCTGTCATAATAGTGTATGACCATAAGAATTTTGATAGTTTTGATTCAATTAATAGACACCTAGCCATTTCAAATAGAGATCATCAAGATCTGCAGTGCCATTTTGGTGTGCAGAGTATGATGTTGATTTTCATGTTTAATTTGATTATTGATTTGAAGAGTTTCAAAATTTTCACCAGTGAATTCCGTGTCATTATCATTTATACATTTTACAAAACCATATGGAGCGATGTATACCAAATATTTCTTTGGAGCGAGAAATGTATCACCTTTTTGTTTAAGAAAATAAACCATGATTAGACCCAAATAGCCATCAACAAAACAGTGTATATTTGAAACCATTCAAAGACATAGGCTCAGGCCAGCTAGATCAAAATGAACAAGGTCTAGAGTTTTATTTGCAAGTTTGTCAAGTAAATTGTTTTTACATTGTACAATTTTGCTTTGGATACACATTTCACAGTTTAAATTTGATTTTTTCATAATTTTTATCCCAGCCACAACATCTTGTAGTTTTATAATGTCCTTCAGATTGCAATGTTCAAGAATTTGATGCCATTGTTTAGACTACACATGACAGTTTTGGAGGTTATTGCAGTATTTAAATAGTATAAGTGTCAAATTCTACACCATTTGGGTATACAGGTTTCAAGTAATTATGGCTAAATTTTCAGAAGCCCCTTTTTTGGTCATGGCTTGTATTGACAATATACTCAGTTTAAATGTAGAGATATAAAGAACATTCTTTAAAATGCAATTTTGCATATTTCTTTCCATGTTAGTTACTTGAGCATTTTTAAAGCAATATTGCTTGTTCTGCCTCCATCTGCCAGTTCAATATGATGATTTTCTTGATTAAAATCATTATTGAAACCAATAAATTTAGATTTGTTAGTAATAACATGAATTGTGGCTCTCCAATCAACAAGTAAACCATTTTTGCTGGAAATGGTATATAGTCCAATTGAAAACAGAAATGAATGTTCATTGTCTGAAACATGTTTAACATTTTCTCAGAAATGAGCTTTCTTTTTGCTTCTGCACTTTTATGTCTAGGATTGTGACAAGTATGGCAGATAATATTTTTGGTTTGTGGATTGGAATTATATCGTCTTGAGGGGTAATTATTTACTGAATAATTCCAAATTTTATTTCGGCAATCAAAGCATTTATGGCCTGGTTTACCACATGAAATGCCAGTAGGGATGTTATTAGTCTGTGGCTTTGGTTTTGGTCTTTGCATCCTGAGGACCATTATGGTATTTTTTTACTGTTATTCTTTGCAATCATCTGAGTTTCTTAGAAGCTTTGCAGTGCTACTTTAAATTCATTAAACATTACTATTTTGTCTTTCTAAGTAATAACAATTGTGAACAGTTTAAATTCAGACAGAAGGCCTTTTAGGACCATGGTTATTAGCAAGTTGTCACTAATCACGTCTGATGGTTTTAATAAAGTTGCAGCATTTTCAGCTCTAATAATATAATCTGTAATACTTTTGCCACTTGCTTTTCATAGGAAAGTTAATTCTGTATAAAAGGAAATTATTTCTGGTTCGCCTTTTGATAAGTAGCGTTCTCTCAAAATTTGCAGTGCTTTTCTGTCATTGTCAGGGGCTTCCCTCATAATAAGAGACATACTTTAGTCATTGAGAAATTAGATTAATTCAGCAAATATATTTGTATTTTTTTTGCAGTGCTCTTTATCATTGGAACAATCATATGGTGCCAAGACAATTTCATGTAATTTTGGATTCTCATGTATCCTAAAAATTTTACTTCCTATAGTTCATATTTGGATTTGTCTAAGATGGACTACAATTTTTGATAAGTTTGCTTACAAATATTTTATGATCATATACTGTAGAGGCCATGGTTCAATATAAAATGCAGAAATGCCCAACAAACAGAATTGACAAAGTTTGCAATAAACAATAAGAAAAGAAACAATAGAACAGACAAAAATAATACCAAGTAACCAATATATGCAAGATAAAATTAGGCAAAGAAACCATAATGAAGCAAAAAAGTTCAAAAACTAAGAATGGTGTCAACACATAAAAAGGAATACAGGCAAGTGATCAATGTATTCTGAATTCAAAACAAGAAACAATAGAAATATGGTGGATGAGACCAAGAAAGGCCTATCATATTGGCTAGAAAGAAATCCCAGCATGCATCTTTTTTTGTTTATAAATTTGGAAAGGGGGTAGTTTTTGCATTCATTCCAATATAGATTGCATTTTAAATTATTTACTAAAGAAATGATTTTTGCTGTTTAACATTAAAATAGCAGTAAAATATTTTGTTAAGCACATGCATTAAGTACTGATTTGATTTTACTAATTATCATAAATTATTTCCAAAACTCATAAACAATAAATCAAGCTAGCCTTTAAAAGTAGATAAATGAATTTATAACTATAAAGCTAAAGGCAAAACTGATGAAATTATGCAAGTGCAAATTTTATGTAAATTGATGAAATGCAAAAGTGAATATATAATAAATAAAATTAATATAAAATTTAATTTTGAGAAATGAAATCTTTTGCTTCAACATTTTTACAGATAGTGATGAATTGTACTAGGTAAATTTAACACTTAAAAGATGTAACAGAAAACTAAAATAATACTCAATATTTTATTTTAAAAAGTTACTTATGAATGATGTATGAGATTTAAATTAAAAATTAAATCAAGCAAAATTTTAAAACATATATACTTACAGAATGTAATCTGTACAATATTCTATAGCCTTCTTTACAGCAGTAGAAAGATTCCAATTTGAAATTGGTTTAATAGACAGAATATCATTTAATAAATCAATAGGTAAGCCATCCAGTAACAGCTGAATGTGGAATTTCTTCAACTAAAAGTACAAGAAAAATAGAAAATACAAAAATTCTTTTAATCAAAAATAAAAGAATATAAAAATGTAGTCAAATGATAAATACAAAAAGTCATTTATTTCTTTTTTATTTAAACAACCTTCTCATTTACTTCAAATATTTTTCATAATTCACAAATGAACAAAACAAACCAGTTCTACATCTCCTTTAGAAAGATCATACATCTCTGCATAGTGTTGCATGCTTTCTGCTTCTGATGATTTCAGTTTTTCAATAATAGGATTTTGAAGTGAACGCAAATGTTGCAAATAAATTTGCAGCTTATCTTCTGCATTTTTCCATGTTACATCACAACTGCAAAAAAAATGCAAGACACATCAGTTTATGGCAAAAGATAACATTTAGAAGAAAAGGTGATTTCATTTGAGACTAAATGAAAATGTCATATATACAGCTAGAGCTAATTAACATATTACATTTTCAAAATAAGACACAAATCTCAATGGCTTTGTAATCTTGCACACATCTTTTTAAAATCTGTTCATTTATACATATCTATTAAAAGAAACAATGCCAGTTACTTATTTATAATTTTTGCTTTTTCACATTTTCCTCAGCTTTTCTGTATATTAACTTTCAACTGGTGATGTTTTAAGAGTGCCAAATATCAGTCTTAACTCTCCGTGTATAGTAGAATCAAGGATTTTAAAATAAGATTTTCTTGATGATCTGTATATGATGCTGCCATAGTCTAGTTTTGATTGAATTAGATTCCTGTAAAATCTTTGTAAGGTTTGTTGGTCTGCTCCCCATTCAGTGTGGTTCATAACACAAAGGAGTTGTATTGCTTTGTTACATTTCTTTGTGAGATATTTCAGATGGGAGGTAAAGGTAAGCTTTTTGTCAAATATTATTCCCAAGAACTTTTGCTGATCTATAAATGGTATTTCAGTCTCTTCAAGTCTTAAAGTTGGATCTTTGTGTAGTTTTCTCTTCTGGCAGAAGTGTGTACGTTTAGTTTTTGTTTTAGAAAATCTAGAACCATTTTCAGTTGCCCATTTGTTAATTTTATTAAGGCATTATTATAAATTTTGTTCTATGGTGTGCATTTGTAGAAAATGAAGAAGTCATCTATGTACAAAAGTCCTTCTACTCCAAAGGTTAAGCTTTTGATGACATATTATTTATTTTTATATGAAACAATGTCACTGATAAAATACTGCCTTCTTGGTTTCTTTAAGTCAGAGAGAATTGATCCAACCTGGACTTTGAACTTTCTCTTAGTAAGAAAAACCATTTATGAATTGTGATAATTTGCTTTTTCAGGCCAAGTGTATGCAGATCCCTCATGATGCCATATTTCTATGTAGTATTGTATGCTTTCTCCAGGTCAAAAAAGACTGCTGAAAAGTGCTCTTTTCAAACAAATGTGTCTCATAGTTATTTCTACATGGATTAAGTGGTCCAAAGTGCTTCTTCTCTTTCTGAAGCCACATTGTAGGTCTAGGTTTAGGGACTGTGGTATTATAGTAGTTTGTTTCCAAATATCCAGGAAATTACTGTTTATCCATATATTATTGTATATTTTTAGAAATTTTAAGGATTCTTCTTTTGTCATAGGAATTCATAGTGGACTTCATCAGATCCAACTGCTGTTATGACATCTTTTTATGGATGAGTTCAATTCTCAGTGGGTTGTTGTAACTTTCTGTGTTGTTAGATGTAAAATTAAGTTAATATTTTTCTGTGATTTGCTTTAAAGTAATAATTTTTTTTTGTTTATTTTTACTTCAGGAATATTTGAAAAAAGCTTAAGCTAGTGCATCTGCTGTGTCCTTTTTGTTGGTTATGATATTGTTATTTTTGGAAAGATGCTTGATTGGTGTTGTTTGGTATTTCCCAGCTATTTTCCTAACCATTCCCATTTTTGTATTCCATCATTCCCACCAAACAGAAAAATGTAAGAACACTGGAAAAACTAATTAAGAAAAATTAACAAAATTTTCCTTGTCTATCATATTTAACAAAAGACGTTAAAAAGAAAGGTTGCTACCCAAATATACATTAATCACATATATATATACCTGTGTGTGTGTGTTTTAACTTTTACTGCATTTTTATGTCCTATCATGCATTCAGTATCCATATTTTCTTTCTATTGTAAGATTATTGTTTTGTTTGTCATGTTATAATGGCATAGTATCAATTTTCATTTCCATTTCTTTGAGTTTTCAGACTTATCATTTGTCTGTTTTATTATTTTGAGTTGGTTTTTGATTTGTCTTTTTCTCTTATCCTTGAGATATATCTATGTTTTGTCTTACTGATTAGTGATTCATTTTTTTCTTTTCTTGAGTTATTTGAGCATTGCTTAATTTGGTAGGGAGAGATATTTCAATATTTGTTATGTTGGTTTTTAAGGCTTTGATAAGATTTTGCACTCCATTTATTAATGATACAAATTGTTCTTCTGTCTTTTTTTTAGTTTTGGTAGTGTTTTTGTGATTTTTGCATAATTTTGTATTGTGAAAGAGTTTTCTTGTCTCTGGAAATGTGCCGTTTTGAGTGATTTTCATTCTTATTATTAGTTTTTCTATTTCCCAGATCTTGCATTCTTTAGCATCAGATCTATGATCTTCATTGCAGTTGTTACATTTTGGTTGATTTTTATATGTTGTTTCATCATGGTTTGGTTCTATTTCCCCACATCTTACAAATATTGATTTTCTTGCACAATACTCCTTTAGATGGTCATATCTTTGACATTTGTGACATCTTCTCAGGTTTGGTATATATTTATCTACTTTGGCTATTAAATATCCAATTTTAATTTCAGTTGGTGGTGTCAGAGTATTGAAAGTTAATATATATTTGTTTGTATTTATTATCTTGTTTTGTTTTTTAATTGTTATCTTTTTGGCATCAATCACATTTTATTTTTTTAACTTGGCTTTTACATTATGAACTACACCTCTGGAGGTGTCTAATCTTTCATGTGGGTATGCTTTTACACTAATTTTATGGAATTTTTTAATCTTTAACAGTATGTTCACATGTTATTTATTTGATATTTCTATCAGAATAGTTCCATTTTTTAAATTTTTTACTGAATTAGGATTTACCACTGAGGATATAACCCTCCTTACCAGGAATGGGGATAATTTAGTTAGTGGGACCTCCTCCCTAGATTCTAATAATATGAATCTAGGAAAGATACTTCAACTTGTTCTTGATCAGAATCTGACTCCATGTGGAGTCTTTTCAATGGATCTTTTCTATCTGTATCCATATAATGAAATTATGTTTCACTGACTGTGCTCTGAGCCCTACAAGTGGAAATCCAAAGAGGGAAGCCCATTATTCTTAACAGATCAGGGCTACACAGTCAGTATATACACATCATGACAAAGGCACCAATTGGTTTTTCTAAGTCTCAGTTGCCAAGTTAAACCTATAGACCCTATAGCCATTGCCTTTTGATTCAGCTTTTTACAGAGTTTGTAGGAATCTGAATCAGGGTTTGGCATGACCAGCCAATTGATTGGATTGTGCTTCTCCAACGACCCATCTAGCTCAAGTAAAGGCAAAGTGCTGTGTTGGGATTCAGGAATTAAAACATCCCTTCTCCTGAAGCTTCAATCATCAACTAAGATCCCATCATGGGTCGCCATCCACGGCCAACAGGTGGTCCTCATTGGGTGAGAAGAGGTTACCTCTCTGTAGAGGTGTGTATCAGCATATTCTGAAGCCCCAGCTAACAGGACTGCCAAATTTTGGTTAGAGAATTATTAGGTTGGGTCATAAATAATTTCTGTTTTTGCTTATCAACTTTATTCTGCAAAAATTAAAATACAATTATATTTTATTCAATTATTTATTCACCTTCATTTGCAATGACTTGCTGCCACTGAGATACCTTTCGAATAAAATTCTGCTGGTGCTGATGTGAAAAGGTTTTCAATAAACTCTTAAATCTGGTTTTCATTAGAGAAAGCTCTCCCCATCAGAGTATTTTTCAGTGATTGAAAAAAGTAATAATCGATTGGTGAAAAGTCAGTTGAATATGATAAGCAGAGTAGAACAGACCCATTTCCAAAATTTTTCCTGTTATTTTTGCTATATGTGGCTTTGCATAGTCCTGGAATAGAACAATATTTTTTCTATTGATGCTTCGGTTGATTTTGTTTAGTGGCATATCAACCCGTATAGGTTATTTAATGCCAAAATCTAAATATTTTGAACACAATTTTATGGCTTCAACTAAATATATTTTGAATGCCTTCAACTATAGATATTTTTATACTTTCAGGGTAAAGGTTTGTTTTATAGGTATATGGTTTGCACATTATCTGTTGTAGAGGTTATGTGTTGGTATAAATCTATTTCTTTAAGGTACAACATTATATTGACGGTTTCAGTATTTTCCAAATAGTTTTCTCAATTTTTTTTTCTTTATAGTATTTATATCTTACATGTGCTATTTTCCTATTCATGTGTACAGAATGATTTTTAACTTTTATGTAAATGTGCATTTAGTTTTTCAGTGCATTTTAAGATCTCTAAATGAATAATAATCCAATGATCACACTACACACACAACATTACTTTCTTCAATGGACACTAGATTTTGGAGTCAGTTATGGAGATTTATCCTTGTTAATCTACTGCCTTTTGCATTGAACATTGTTGTATGTAATCCATTTTTCATCACCTGTTATGATATATTTAAGAAATGGTTACTTTGCATGATATATTTGTCATTACAATTAGTTCCCCAACAAGGAAATTACTTATGGCTCAACCTAATATAAGGCTGACTGAAAGATGAGATTTCTTCTTTCAATCAATTTAATCTCCATACAGCTAGTATGATCCAAGTAGTTGACTCACATTTCTGCTCATATTAAGGCTGGCACTGTTTAGTTCTACTTGATTTGGTTGACTCAAAAAACCTCTGATTGAATACAGTCAAACAATTTACTGACATAACTTCTTTCATAAGCATTCATTTTTCAAAAACACTTAATCTCATGTAAACTTAAATTTACATAAACTGATCACACCCACATTCATTGGAGTATGTTACATTGATGTGTGTTTTACCATGTACCTCCAGGGTCAAACAATATAAACGTTTATATTTTAAGTGTAAAATAGTTTTTAAAAGCTCTGTACAAGTAGATTAGAAAATAAAATTATATAAAAACATTTTAGCTCTATCAATTATTTACCTTGAGCCATCTTGTTTCTTCTTTTTACCTTTATCCTGTTGACAGTATTTCAAAGCTCTTTTAACAATATTTTCTCGACAATTGGTAGATAGCTGAAAATACACAAGAAGGTTTAAGTTACAGAAATCAAACTAAAAAAGGACAAAGTGGATATAGTTAGTTGGATATTTTTATATTTTACGACATAAAATAATATTGATTACTACTGTTTACTTAAATGCTTGTGATAAAATATGTATTATTAATCAAGCATTAAGAATGGAAATCATTAAAATTTAGTCCTATGTTTTTACCAATGATTTATATTCTATTTTATTCTATTCTATATTCTAGTAATTTTTTTCTTTAGAAATCAAAAATAGTTAAAACATTGATGATTGTTTATAATTGCAAATTTCCTGCAGACATCAAAATTACTAAAATATCTTTCATTCACTACCTTAGTAAATTAAAACTTAACTACATCAGGAATGTCTGTCATTATTGAGCCACAGAACTGCAGTGATAATAATTCACATTATCTTCAGTTGATAGGTTATGTCATGAGTAAATGTGCTAAGTAAACTAATTCTGATGAAATGTTGTCAGAGAAAGAAAAATATTGGTAAACTAGTAATTTTTTTTATTGGAATCATTTTAATATTAGTTACATAAAAGAAAGTTAAATTCACAAGAAAAGAGAATGAAGTAAGTGAATCTGATTTTAAATTATGTTCTCACTTTTTCCCTTGAGGTAGAGACAAAAACAATTGATTCAATAAACATGAGTAAGTCAGCTGGAAACATTTTCTGAGTGAATTCCCAGCAGTCATCATACTGATGTAGCCAACAAGACTGAAAAGACAAAAACATATATCAACAATATATACACCATTTAAATATGTTTTAACAAGTTACAAGAAAATTTTAAAAAGCTGTAAAAGTATTCAACAAATAATAATGAAAATACCATTTGTGCTAGAAATTTTAAAGTAAGTAGTGAATATTCAGCAACTTTTCTTTATTATCTTTGCAGGGATCCCCCCCGATATAACATTTAATTTTTTAGATGAATATATAGATGAAACCTTACAGCCCATGAAAAAATAAAATAAAAATTGTAAATTGTTTGGTTTGTTTTACAGCATATCAACCTCAATGGGTTATTTAATGCCTACAAAATTTTTTATTGCTGGTAATATTTTGTTTTGTCAAAAATCTATTTCTGGTAATATTTTCTCCTACAAAAATGTATTAATGGTAATATTTTTTACAAAGTATTTCTGGTATTAAAATCTATTTTTACACTTCCATAGTGTTTTTACTCAAGTTTCGGGGTTAACTATTTGCCCATAGCTGGAAGCCTAACAGGTGCTACCCGCATGGGTAAGGTGGACCTAGGAACACTAGTGATTAAGAGGTGGTTCCATGCTTCTCAAAACCTCCTGATCAGAGGCTTTGCTGTTGGATGTTGTTTATTGGACAGTATTGTAAAGTCATAATAATTATTTTCAGAGTCTGAATCAATTGTGAAATATGGTAATATCAAAAATCCTATTAGCAAACCCAAATGCAAAATCCGGTCAAAGGAAGACCATATAACTAAACAACATGCATACACATCTCAGAGGAAATTTTAGAAAATATGAAACCACAAAAATGAAATCAAGAACCAACAAAGTAGTGAAATTTCCAAGAGTCACCATAACATTGACACAGATCTAGTTATAAGCAGAACAGGACAAACAAAACATTGTACTTGAAAAAAAGTCTGGAAAAATAAAATAATGTAAAAAAAAACAAACAAACAAAAAAATGAAGGTAATAAAGTGAAAAAAATGTTAAAATAATGCTGTCAAATATTAAATTGAAGCATAAAAATAACTAGAAATAAATGAATAAGAATAAATTTTTGTCAAATATTTTTATACAAAAAAGAAAACCACATGATTTAACTATTTTAAGACTGCTTTGGAAAACAAATAACTATGGTCACTGCCAGCCAGTTTTTCTAATTAGTGAAATTAATAGAAAACTCAGTATATGTGTTCTATTTAATTACTGTAGGTTATTAATAAATACTTACTAGAAATTAATAAAACAAAAAGAGAAAATCATACTTACATCACCAGTAAGTTTAGGTTGATTTATTTCTGCATTCCAAAACATTTTTGCTGCCCACATTGCGAAAACAATACCAGAGTGAAAATAGCCACCTTTCTGAAAATTTCCATACATAGTCATTTATATTAAGCGTTACATGAAGAAAAAAAAGGTAATCAAAATTATTTCTTTAAATTTAAAAGAGAAATTATCATTATCTATTCCTGTAGCTTTCTTTCATGAATAATGTTTTCTGTTTTTCCTTCCAATATTGCAAGAAATCAATTCTTAGCATCAATATACATTTGATGTTAATTATCTTAAAATTATTTGGAAATTTAAACAGATAATGAGAAAGTGAATTTTAATTGCAATTCTAACAAATGACTTATTTTTAAAAAGCTTTTGCAAAATATGTAAATCACAACAGAAATTTACTATGAATGAAATATAATGCTTAATTAAGATATTAATGCTTTAATATTTGAAAGCACATTTCAAGCAAATTTCAATTTATGACAAATTTATATCAGATAAATAATCCACTAAAAAACTTCAAGTCTATATAAAAAAAAAAATGCAGTTAGGCTTTACAAAATCTGTAAAAGATTTAGCACAAAAAGATTAAAATTGTAGTTAGAATAAATTTATAAACAAATCTATTCAATTTTCTAAGAATTGTTACAGAAATGAAATATTCTGATAGAAACCTATCAGCTGTATTATTTTGTATAATTCTGGCTATATGAAAATATAAACATACACTGAATTATATCAAGTGAAATTATTCAGAAATGAAATACATAAAAAATGCAAACACTGAATGACCAAATTAGCATATACAGAAACATAATATATGCATTTTTATAGAAGAATCTTAAAATGCATTGAATTAGATAATAAAATCTGCATTCTAACTTCTTGAGAACAAATGCTGAATATTTATCTTGGTTTATCAAAACAAATATTCAGTAACAAAAAAAAATGAAATTTCATGCTTTTTCATAAGCATGGTTTTGTATGTACTTTTAAAGTAAGCTAAATTTAATTGATTATTCATAAAATCAAAGTTATTACATTAATCATAATTATTAATTAACTTCTCTACTTCTCTAATTTATTAAGTGTTTAATTTTGTCTTGTCATAATATTTTTATGAGGATGGACATAGGCTAATTATGAAGGAGTAATGTTAGAGCTGTGAAATCTTGCATGCATTAATTTGAACTCTTCTTATTAATAATTGCATTGTTTCTTTTCAGGTAAACTGATTGTTCAAAGAAGACTTCAGAAGTAATTTGTAGTGACTTCTCTTGAAAATGGACAAAATTTAGGATTGTGATATTATCAAGTACCTGCAGAAAAAGGGTTTAGCTCTCAAGGACATTCATGATGACATTAGGGGGTTGATGCTCCAGCTTTATCAACAGTGCAAAAGTGGGCAGGAAGAATCTTGAAGACGACTCAAGGTTTGGACATCCTGCAACTGCCACCACTGAGAAAAACATGGATCATGTTCACCACATGGTGATGGATGACAGGCAATTGATTATAAATCAAATAGTCAATGCTATTAGCATATTCTATGAGAGAATTTAAAATATTTTGCACCATGAATTTGGCATAATGAAAATTTCTGCTCACTGGGTGCCACATCTTCTGACACCTGATCAAAAGCACACCAGATGAATGAATGAATGTTTCCTAATCCAGGATGAGTGTTGGATTCATCACTCCTAGCCAGAGACAAAGATACAACCCATGCAGTGGAAACACCCTGCCTCACCTGCTCCAAAGAAGGCCAAGGTCATTTTATTTGCAGGTGATAGCCTCAGTTTTTGGGGATGCAAAATTATCTTCAAAAGGGTCACACCCTCACTAGAGAGTACTATGCCAAGTTACTGAGGCAGTTACAAAGGGATATCAAAACCAAATGCCCAGGAAAACTAACAAAACTGGTATTGTTTCATCAGATAACGTCCTTAGTTTTAATGGCTGCTATGCATGACTGTGGCTTTATACTGGTTGATCACCCTCCTTATTATCCTGATTTAGTTCTATCTGATTATTATTTGTTCTCCAACAGGAAAAAACAGTCGTCTGGGAATCAGTACCAAAGTGATGATGACATTATATCCGCTGTTGATAACTTTTTTAACCAACAGGATGAAAACTTCTTCAGCAATGGGATCCAAGCACTGCATCATCAATGGTAAAAGTGTGTGAACTGTAAATGAGATTATGTTTAAAAATAAACCTCATTTGGTCACATTCCATAAGAGCATCTTGGTCAGCCTATGAACTTTCAGTCAACCCTCATAATTGTGAAATTCTCTATAAATAAAATATAAATATAGTTATAAATAATTATGCAGACATAAAATAATCTTTTACTCTAAAAAAAGTCCCCTATAAAAATGCATTGAATAACTCAAAAAAAAAAAAAAATTGAACAAACCTGATCAGGAATCTTGAATGCCAGTTTAGCAAATACATTCACATTATTTTCATTAAGAATAGGTTGAATGACATTAAAGAGAGTATCCTTCCCAGACATCAAAATTTTATAATCTAAACCTGTGTAAAGATATTTAAATATGGATATAAATTAGATGACTGAATAAATGTTGAAATACAATAAAAATGCATTTGCACTAATAATCAAAACCACTTTCTTTGATAAGATAGTTAATTTCCTTTATATAGACATATCAAACTAGAATTTTATTTTCAATATATCCATGTCTTTCTTTCTGGCCCCTAAACAGGCCACAAAGAAAGACATGGAAGATGAAGGTAAGTTGAACAAGTATATTGAAGATATATACACAGCAAGAGTGTTAGTAATAAGTAGATAGCGGTGTACATCCGAACGGTAGATTAGCACTGCATCTACTACTGCCAATCGCTCTACCCGATTCTCGCAGTTTGTATTTATGAGAGGAGGAAGAGTTCATTCTACTGTAGGAGGGTTTACCACAACACCCCCTCCTAAAATCTTAACTCTGCAGGAGTCTGAAGATTTTTTTTTTTTTCATTTGTACCTGTAAAAAAGAAAGTTTACCAAAGTGGTTTTCCTCCACCTGACTTGTTTTACATTATCAAAAAAAAAAACAAGCATTTCCTTTTTACATCTGGCTAGGAATTTAAAACTTGGCTGACTTGTTTTGCCAAGTTCAACGTAGAATAAGCTTGCGAACTTTAGTTTGTGGTGTCAATATCTTTGACGTTTAGGATTAACCACCATCAAATCAATTGCTTTTCTTTTTCTCTTGGAACGGTGCCTTTAAGGAGCCACTAGAGGGGTCTGAATATCAAAGGTGTCATAAATGACGTCCATTACAGTCCCCTCAGGGAACCCATGATCATTCTCGTCCGTTAGGTGTTTCCAGAGCTGATTGATATGCCTTTTTATGAATATTACCAACTCTTTTCTCTATCGTACCCATCTCCCAAAAAGATATGTTATCTTTATAAGTTTTGAAAAAAACTTTTTCTGCCAGGATGTATCGTTTTGTAGGTACGATGTTAGCTCTTTCTGGTTTTGTCTGTTTTGGTAGTAGTTTGTCAAAAACAGATCGTATCTGACGTGCAAACATCACCTCAGCTAGAGATTGCAAAGCTGGTGTTTTTTCATTAGGCGTAATCCTGTAGACTTGAAGGAACTGTTGAAGGGCTTTTTCAGTGGGTGTAGCCCTAGCTTTTTTCAGAGCTCTCTTCAAGGTATCTACAAATCTCTCAACCTGTCCGTTTGACCTAGGATGATACGGAGTGGTAGTAATGTGATTGACCTGATACGTTTTACAGAAGTCATTAAATTCTGATGACGTGAACTGACTTCCATTATCGGACACTAAGATGTCCACTACCCCGAATCTAGCAAAAAGTTCATGAAGAAATTTTATTGTGATTTCAGTAGTTGGATTTTTACATATATGTACTTCGGGCCACTTTGAGAAACTGTCTACTACAATGAGGTAGTAGTAGCCTTCTAAAGGGCCCGCGAAGTCAATGTGGATTCTAGACCACGGTAGGTCTGTTTTTGGCCAGAGCCTAAATTTAACAGGAGGTGCTTTTGCTGCCAAGGCACAGCCTTTACATGATTTGACAGCATTTTCTATGTATTTGTCCGTGTTTTGCCAATAGACATAGTCACGCATCAAGCTTTTCATTCTAGTACTCCCTGGATGGCCAGCATGAAAATCCCTCAGAATACCCTTCTGGAGTGTTGACGGAATCACGACGCGTTCCCTATATAGTAACACTTCGTCGCATATCGAGAAAACGTCCATAGTCCGCTGGTCCTTTTCAAAAATTTTCACTTTTGTATGCTTGACAAACTCATTGTGGAGAGCCTCTTGTCTAATTTGTTCATGCGTCACTGGAAGTTCCCTTACTGTATTACAAAGGGTCGTTTTTAATTCTTCTTCAGATTGAAGGGAAGCGAGCACTGTATCTTCTAGTGGTTCTTTGTACTTCGGAATTAGTCTTGATAACCCATCTGCATGGCCGAATTTTTTGATGACACATACTCCATTTTGAAATTGTAATTCAGCAAGGTAGTACTCCATCTCTGTAGTCTGTTGGCTGTGTGAGTAGGCAGACCTTTCTTTGAGCCAAAAATAGTGAGTAAAATGTCGACCATAAATATAGTGATGGAACTTCGCGACTGCGAATATAATTCCAAGCACCTCTTTCTCAATCTGCGAATAATTTTTCCGCAGGAAGCAAAGCTCTCGACGCATAAGCTATTGGTTTTACTGTTCCATCAGCCATTTTATGAAGAATGCATGCCCCTACGCCATACAAACTAGCGTCACTGGCAACAATGATTTCCAAGTTCGGGTCATAGTGTGTAAGGAATAAGTCTGACGTCAGTATTTTCTTTATTTTTTCAAATGCCTCCTGGCAATCTGCTGTCCAAATCCAGGGCTTGTCTTTCTTTAACAGTTCATTAAGGGGGGGGGGCACACAAATCATGCATATTTGGTATGAATGCCTGGTAATAATTTGCTAGTCCAAGGAAGCTTTGCAACGAAACAATGTTATTTGGCGCCAGCATATCTTTAATCATGGCAGCCCATTCAGGATTTGGTCTTCTGCCATCCTTATCGATTATGTATCCTAGGTATTTGATTTTTTTCCATGAAAACTTTAAGTTTGAAACTGTAGTCTTGAATCTTGGTGAAAACTTTGTACTGAGAAGTCAAGACTGCTCAGCATAGTATCCAGGACTTGCTGAAATATTGCTGGTGCAACTTTGACCTTGAACGGTAAACGTTTGAATTTATATAATCCGTGGTGCATATTTATACACAATAGCTTCGAACTCACCTCTTCAACCGGAATTTGCAAATAAGCATCATTAAGGTCAATTTTCAAAAAAAAATTTTCCCCACATTAAGCTTAGCAAAAATGTTTTCTGAGCCAGGAAGAGGATAATGATAATCCTTCAATACAGCATTTAATCCTATCAAAAAATCAGCGCAAACATGTATGTCTTTCAACTTCTTTTTTACATAAACCGCTGGTGTGGCCCATTCGCTGTACTCTACCTTAGATAGGACACCAGTTTTTTCTAATCTGTCAAGTTCCTCGTTAATTTGTTCCAAGGAGGCAAAAGGCACATTTCGCTTCTTTTTGAAAACTGGCTGGATGTTGTCTTGTAGTTCAATTTTTGTCATCATCTAGGTACACCTGCCTAACCCACCAGAAAAAAATTCTGGATTGGCTTCCTTCAGTTCTTTTTTCAGTTTTTCAGCTTTGGCATTCCAATTTTCAATTTTTTGGCAGTGAGAATTTATAGGCAAGTCCCAAAGCTGGAATTGTGTCATCCAATCAGTGCCAAATAGGTTGTTAGTATTTTTCTTCTGTTACTGATCTTGCAATCTTGCTAGATTTTATCATGATTGGCTTACCCAATCTTTTCCATGTTTGCAAGTTTATTATAGTTAAATCAGAACCCGAATCTAGTTGAAATTCCACACTTTTGTTTATTACTTTTACATGCACGAATTTCCTTGTATTTTTTATGCAGCTATTGGTTTTATTTTTAGATCGGCAATGCGAACTTTTGTGTCCAACTTGGTTACAAATGTAACATTTTTTTATTCCGGAACATGCAATCTTTGTACCAATGTAGGGCTCCACATCTGTAGCATGGGTCAGGGGGCAACTTGTTTTTTTCTTTGTTTCAGTTTTAGGAGACTGTTTGTTTCTATTTGTAGCATACATTTTTGACATGAGCAATACCCGATTCTTTGATATTTTTCGAATCCTGTTTTAAACTGACGTACCTCTGACATTCTTCAGCGATCTGCTGTAGAGTTATATTCCTCTCATTCTCCAATTTTAGTATTCTTCGCCTAATTTCTGCATCTTTTGTTGAAACTAGTTCTTGCACAAATATCAAGCATTTGAAGTTATTCACATTTGGCCCCACCAATCTAAAATCTTCGCAGTGCTTGTTTACAATTGATGCAAAAGTCGTGTAGTCTTCCCATTCTTTCTTAGTTAGATTAAGACATTTCCTTCTCTTCTGAAAAAGATGTCTTTGGGCTGAAGAGCTCCGTTAGTAATTCCCCTGCTTCAGTGAATGTCAATTCGCTAGTCTTACAGGGCAGAATTTTGTGTGCTCAGTTGTGCCAAGTTTCTTCGGAAGAAGACATACTTTTTTTGAGTCACTCCAATTTGTACAATCTGACGTATACAAATCCTAATACCTCCTAAAGTATGACGCGAAGGTTATGTCTTCCTTGGGATTATATGAAAAATTCTCTATCATGCTCCAAATAGTGTTTTGTGAAAAAGAAAATTCGTTTTTGATGGGATTACTACAGCTTGTCAGTTCTAATATTTGCTTTTGAAATTCAAGCTGTCTCTCTTGATTTTCCTTTTGAAGTTCGAGCTGTCTCTCTTGATTTTCCTTCTGGGTTTGCAGTAATACATTTTCCAATTTTTCCTGTTGAGAGAGCAATTGTTTTTGCCACATCTCTTCCATTCTTTCTTGGAGTTGTAATTGCTGTGCATTCTTGTATTTTACAAGTTCTAATAAAATACTTTTGAAATCCTCCATGATAAGTGTGTCTTTTACGAAAAAACTTGATTTCCTGTATTTTGAGAGAGTTCCTTTTAATCACGGTGGTCCACGCAAAATCCTCGCAAATCTCCATCACTAAGTTGTTGTGGACACTGGCAACGGCAAATTTTTTGAGTCCCTGTGAAGTGCAAATCCTCATCGCCAAGTTGTTGTGGAACTGGCAATGGCAAATTTTTTGAGTCCCCGTGAAGTGCAAATCCTTGTCGCCAAGTTGTTGTGGCCTGTTTAGGGGCCCGAAAGAAAGACACGGAAGATGAAGGTAGGTTGAACAAGTATATTGAAGATATATACAAAGCAAGAGTGTTAGTAATAAGTCCAAATGGCAGGTTAGCACTGTGTCTACCTTCTCCCTCAACCTACTCTCGCAGTTAGTATTTATGAGGGGAGGAAGAGTTCATTCTACTGTAGGAGGGTTTACCACAACAGTTTATATAATAATTTTATCAAAAAATGTAAAAAATAACCAAGATATAAGCAGTTAAAATGGAATTTTTTTATTTGTGAAGTAAATTATATGAAAAATATTACTTGAAAAAAAAACCCTGTAGTGTCACACATGTATCTTGCCGACTGCCATACCCCTTCACCTCAACAGTATTCAGTATTTAACTAATTGAAGAGTAAGCGTTCTCAAAGCAAATTTGTGGCTTTCACAACACAAAGAAAGAAAATCACTTGTAACGCGTCAGGAAAATAACTCACGAACGCCGTAGCCAAAAATGCCCGAATTTTCCTTCCCCGAGTCAAAAACACCAACTGCTTTTATCGGCAGAACCTATTTTTTCCATTCATCGACTGCTGGGATAGGATGCTCCGGAATTTGCATATCAATATACTCTTATAGCGACTCCTGCGACGGACTTGTTTCTTTTTTCGTCACAGAATACACGCGACGCGCTGTCGCTTGGGTTGACGAGGTAAGTCGCTATAAGAGTTTTGCTGACTACTTTTTGGTAATCCTTCTTCGGCAGATCGCACACAAAACACGAACTTTTTTTCTGGAGTACTTGATTATCTTGTTCACTACACTAATATACTGAATACTCAACTGTGTATTTGATTTCTAGTTTTCAAAAAAAGTGGATACTGGGAACCTTTGTATGTATGCACACAAATATATCAGTGGACCAAATATTGATAGCATGTAAAAAATTTATTATTTCATTGTAAATTTATTGAAGTAGTATGAAATTTGACATATATAACAAGCTTCAAATGCTAAGAATTAGAAAATTATCACAACAAATCAATTTATTGTATATATTTCGTATAGGCAAGCAGAATTCATTGTTTTTTCTTTTTTTTTTTAACCATTTTTCATATATACTTCCTTCAATGCAGTGAGGTTAGATAGTTGATGCTTTCCAAATTGATTCTTCATGTTTTCCCATAAATTTTCTATTGGGTTCAGTTTTAGTAGTTGCCTGGGCCACTCAAGAATATTAATATGCTGTTGCTTCTTTTTCATCAATCAGGTTTTAGTCTCATGCTGTCTCTGTTTGAGTAATAGGCTAGTATTTCTGGCATGTCGTAACCATGTCTTCAATGTCTCAATTGATCCCTATCAGTATATTGCCATTCTTGCACTTAGCTTTGTTTTCTTGATCACCTGGTGTGATGCATGTAGTTACTGTAGTATGTCTGATTGGAGTGGGGTTTTTGTATAGCTTTATTTAAGTCTTCTGGGTTGAAGCATAATCTGACTGATCCATTCACTTAGAAAAACATACAAATGAATTTACGCATGAGGTGGTTTTGTGACAGATGATGCCTTGATTCATGAAGGAATCCAATTCTGATTTAAATTTATCACACAAAAATACCAGGATTCTCTGCGGTGGGTGGATGACTGGCAGTATTTTGGGGTTTGCATTAATGATATATTCCTTGGGTAGACATCCTGTCCAATCAAATACATCGAGGAATCCTGTCAGGACCTTGTTCCCATGTTCTGATATTGTGTTTAGGTAATTCTGTTAGAGGTAATCTCGCTTACGTTCTGCAGCTTGGTCTTTTCCAACCTTTCCTTGATTCCTCTATGTCAGGGTTGTCCATTTGAACTACTAAGATGAGTGTTACTAAGTCCAGTTTCCTGGATGTGTGTAAATCTATCAGCACTGGTTCAGTTGTCTTCACCACATGGAATGTAGCACTGGTAAATGTGTCTCACTCTGAGGAGACATGCACCTGCTTGTTCTACTGTCATACACCTAAATACAAATAGACATACTGGAGTCTTTTCTAGTGCTACATCCTTAAACCTTTTTAATATTTCATGAGGTAAAATGTTGCTCATGGCTCCTGTGTCAATTTCAGCATTCACTTCTACTCCAAATCCAACTTTCCAGTTTGGCATATGCTTTTTTTGCATTTGGTGGCAATTAGAATTTGTTTGAATTTTTTGTTTCTACTAAGTGGAAATAAATATCTTTGTTCATGGACTCATCACCACTGCTTTGTCTTTTTCTAGGCACCTTCATTTTATTTTCTGTTCTTTTCCTGATTGAGAGGCATGTGCATGCAAAATGACCAAGTTTCTTACACTTCATGCACATTTTGCCCTGAGCTGGGTATTTTCTGACCTTTTGGTTTGTTCCAAATATTTGCAGTTTCTTTTATCATTAATTGAGTTTATAGTAATCAGCTCTTTCAAGGTATGAATAGCCTTCAGTTGCCTGGTTGTAGCTTCCTCCTCTGTTTCCATTATATTCAGGGTTTATACAATTGTCAAGTCTCTTTAGTAGGGATTTCTGTGTTTACCTAAGGTTTGTACTGAACATAAAGAGGTCCACTGGGAAGGTTTCCTCAACTATGTTTTATTTGTTGTCTCAGCCTATTAAAAAAAAAAAATCATGCCAACTCATTAGCCCCTTGGCGACATTGCAGTAGACTTAGGTTTCACAAAACTTTTATATAGTCATCCACATTCCTTTCCTCCTCTCTTTGAAAGACAATTCTTAATTTTTGGCCCTTGTACTCTACCCAAATTATCAGGTAGTTAATTTTTACATCATCACTAACTTTGCAGGGTGGCCTGTTGAAATGTAACATTAATTGATGACTAAATTTGTCCTTCTCTAGGTTGGGATTGTTCCAATCTATACTGGGTGGAGGAAAGTGAGAAGTTGCCATGTCAAGCTATGAAGAAAGTCTTATAAGAATCTGAATTCTCACCTTAATGGCAGTTATAGGCACATGTGTTATCTTTGTTCAAGTAAATTTCTTTAAGTCAATGAAAAACTGTTTCTTTTTGGGTTTTGTTTTGGCAAATTCTGTTATGTGGGCTCCATGTTCACCTAGTTCTGTTTTAACACTTCACTTTTGACACCATGTTTAATTTTCTGCCTGGGTTCAGTGTAGAGATGAGACAAGGATGATGAACGTATGTACACATTTATTGCTAGAAGGGTGGCATAGAAAAAAGGAAGAGGGGTTAGTATATTGAACTAAGGAAGTTAATGCTCCTTATTTAAGAGTTTCTATCAAGGGAGATTACTAGGTAAAATAACAAGTACTATTTTATCCAGCATTTTTCATTTCATAAATAATTTGTTCTATATCCAATAAATTGATTTGTGGTGATAATTTTCTAATTCCTAACATTTGAAATGTAGATGTCAAATTTCACACTGCTGAAACAAATGTACATGCATTTAGTTATAAATATTTTGCATGTTAGATATTTGATCTACTGTAAATATCATTGTTAACAGCATTTCAAAGAAAATCATGCTGAGCATTCACTTATTCACTGAATACCATGAGCATTAGCAATATAATAAAAATGTCAAAACAAGCAGTTGTAAGTTACCTGGAGCAACTGGTCTTAATTTCTTAAGCAGTCCCACATGAAGAGACGGTTTTATTTTCTCATCTAACCAGTACTCTTCACATTTGACTAACAGTGAATAGTAACAGATAAGGCGTGAGTGATTATGACCTTCAATGAAGGGGTACACGTAATCTTTCATACGTTGCACAAACTGTTTAGGGTTTTCTAATAATGTTGGCATCAGTTTAGCCTCCTGGACACACAGAGTTAATACATTAGCATCAAGTCTATGAAAAAGAGAAAGGAAAACACAAAACATTTTATTCAAACAATAAAAACAAAGTAAGATAAAAGGATATTTTTAAAATCTACTTTCAAATATTTCATATTTTTAAAAAGTTTAAATGACATTTTCTCCAGAGAAACAATAAAAATTCTGTATTTTGATAATAGTCTCCAAATAAAAATATTTAACCAAAAAGAAACAAATCTGTTTCACAAAGAAGCTATAAATGTAAAAAAATTAAATATAAACATTTAAAACAGAATCATTAAATAATTAGTAAATTATTTGTGTAATATATTTGTCCAATTTTAAAGTATCAGTAGCAGGTATCATTTCAAAACCTGGATAATGAATAGTATTTAATATATAGTTTAAATCAAATAACTGGTATTCAAATAATCTGCCAACCACTAGAGTTTAAACATATTCTGTATATAAAAAATTTAAAAAACAAACTGCTTTAAATTGGCTTATTTCTATTTTGTTACTATTTTTTATATTGGTGGATTTGAACAAAATACATTTTAAGTAGGCAACAAAAAAAAAAAAAAAAAAAAACTATATTTAATTTTAAAATGTATTTAAAAAATGAAAAATCTTTCTTGAAATTTTAATTTCAAGATAATAGAAAAAATTTTATATTCCCAATAAGCAAAATACTATCAAACCAAATTTAGATTAACTGGAATCTTTTTATTTTTATCCTTATCAGTAACATCTATAAATTAATCCATACTGACAAATCTGTCAATACAAAAATTTCAAATTTTTCTGGAAATATTATTTGAGAAAAATTAGCTGGTTTAATCAATCTAATTTATTATTTTTAATAAAAAAAAATATTTATTATTAAATAATATTTTTAACTGAAAATATAGTAGAAAAGCATTTTTTTTAACATGTTGAGTGATTTATTCACAACCTGATATTTGCATAAAATTAAATATGAAGTGACAGAACTAACAGAAAATACTTAACAATCACTAAATGAACACTTTTTATTGATTTTTTTTTAACTACCCAGTAATCTTAAAAAAAAAATTAATAAAATATTTTAAGCAATCTAACATGTTATAGAATTTTAGGTACTTTGACTTAACCTTAGCCTTACTTTCAAAGACACTTGTTAAAAAAATATGAGAATTTTTAAAAATTATTTCATACCAAGCAAGGCAATAAAGCCACTAAGACAGAAGGGGGTTACTGAGTGCAAAAAAATAAAAAAAAGAAAAACATTATTAAGGAGTGAGAACACTAAAAAGAGGAATCAATAAAACAGTGGATAACAATTGACATTACATTTAAATTTTTGAAGATCAAAGTTGACTGGAAAGCAAGAAGCTGAACGAGAGTTCCATAAGCGAGAAGTGCAATAGAAGAAACAGCATAGAACTTACAGTTACAGCTAACCATTTCAACTATAAAATGATAAGATCTTGCTGCCAATCTAGTACTAGTGAGAGAGAATATGAAAAAAAACAAAAACACTATTAAGGAGAGAGAACAATAAAAGATTTAAGATAGAAAATAATGATTGACAATGCATTTAAATTTTTGAAGATCAACGTTAACTCAGAACAAGGAAGCCGGAAGAGAGTTCCACAAGTGAGAAATGTGATAGAAAAAGTGGTTAGCATAGAACTTACAGTTACATTTAGTTCCATTTCAAGTGTAAAATGATGAGACCTAGCCGTCAATCTCGTACTGCATTTAAATTCATAAAGTTTAGGTACCATGGAGAAAAGTTCATCAGAACAATTACCATGAAAGTATTTATAAAAAAGGTATAGGTATGTTACATTACAGTTGCGGGAAAATGATTGAAGCCAAAATACCAGGTTAGGATCAATAACATTACAGATTTTTCTTTGGATTTTATCAAGAGCAGGAGCACCAGACCACATGTGGCAGCAATATTCAAAGCATGGACAAATGGTAGACTTATAAATATGTAAGAAAAATTGTTTAGCATGACACTGAACTAACTTTCCTAACAGCAGACCTAGCAATTGATTCAATATAATCTTTCCACTTCATGTCAATGGAAAACATTAGTCTCAGAAGGTTAGCATCTGCCATACTGATGGAAGGCAAAAAGGGTTTTCTCATGTGATTAAAAAAGAGCACTTTCATTTTGAAGGCATTAAAGTTAACAACAAAGTGAAGATTATTTTTGAGATCAGCTACCAATTTGACCCTATCAAACCGATCAGACTTACTATTAAGGTAAGTAAATGTAAATAGAGGTATCATCAGTATAGATACCAAGTTGAAAATTGAAGACATCAGGAAGGTCATTTATGGAAATTTGGATCAATCTAGGCCCAAGGATAGAGGCCTGGTTAACACATGCATTAATACAAATAGATCTAAAAGAGTGGCCGCTTAGGAGAATTTTCATTTCATGATTTGATATGAATGACTGAATCAGTTCAAAAATTAATCCAGAAATACAATAACCTTTCAACTTGTGAAGAAAACCAAGTATGCCAAACCATGTCAAATGCCTTACAGGATATCGAAAGCAATGGTCTGAGCTTCAGCATTCTTATCTAAAGTTTGATAGACTCTTTCAGCAATATTCATTAATACATCAGCAGTTGACCTAGAGAAGTGAAAGGCATACTGTTTAGCTGAAAGAAAATACTGCAATGTAAGATGCTTAACTAATTCCGAGTTGACAAGGGCCTCTTGTACTTTATCAAAAAGAAGTAGAAGGCTAATAGGCCGATAGAAGGATCAAGCAGCTCACCTGAGTTCTTAAAGACTGGAACTATAGAAGAGGATTTCCAACAAGCAATAAAGCAGGAAACAGCCAGGTATTAAATTTTTTATTTTATTATATGTACCTCTCTTATTTATGAAATTTTACAGTATTTTATTGATTTTTATTTTATTATTAATTTATTATGTTTTAGTTTTTATTAATTTGTCACTTATTAATTTTACCTTATCTCAGTTCTGAAATTTTTAAGTTATTTAGTAATTTTACAAATATTTCATAATATTTTAAATTTTATTATTTATCAATTATGTACCTTATTATATCTTAAATGGAAAGGGAACATCTGTTGTAAGATGTTTTCTTGCAAGAGTAACAATTTATGAAAATGGTTATGTTTATGCAGACACATAAAAAAATTCAAAATTCTCTACAAAATATTGGGTTTTGCAGACTAATTTTTTCCATTTATGATTAGTATATACAGTTTTAATTTAATAACAATATCACTTACCTGTTACAAATCAATGCAGAATGTTTATGAATTATTCTAATTAAAATTTTAAATTGAAAATGATTCTTTTAAAAATTTATTTTTTCTTAAGACAATAGTATTTAAAATATATTTTATCCATAAAAACAATTAATGGCTTTTCAAATAAAAAATATCTTAGTGTTATTGTGTTTTACTTTACAATTTAGGGTAGATATTCTACAACTTGGAGTCCTGTTTGACTAAAAGATTTTGAAGATTTAAATTCCTAATAACAAATATACATATTTTGTACTAGAAAAAAGAATTTCTAACAATTTCCTAAAAATTAAAGGTAACAGATTAATATATGTATATATATATATATATGTGTGTGTGTGTGTGTGTGATTTTTACAAAGGTTTTCTAAATAAAGAAATGTTTTAAAAATAACTGCATTCATTCCTGAAAGTTTCATTAAAATCTGACAAATATGTGATTTTTGATAAATTTTCCAAATCAATGCAATTTCCCATTAAAAAAAATTTTAAAAATGTTCAAATTTTCCAGGGCTATATAAAGAACAGAAAAAAATAATTTTTACTTAAAAATTTCTTTCCTCTTAATAATGACACAAATATATTAAACATAAAATTTTATCTTTATTATTTTGGGGGCATTTTTACATTATGTATAATTCTTTTTTAGTAAATTGTTAGAGGTAACTACTTTCAATGTTAACTTCTAAAAAGATACAATGAAAATAATGTAAACATTCAAAAGCACATGGTTGTTTTAAATTTTTTTTATAAAGAACAAATATATAATTATACATACCCACTTTCACAGAATAAAAATTCTAAATGTGTCATGTAGAGTTCCCACTGAGATAAATTATAATGTTCAGCTAAAGATACAGCAATCTTAAAAATATCAGCTTCATTTGTCCTGTCAATTGAAATAGAAATACGGAATAGTAAAGAAAAAAAATGAAGTTAGACTAAAATTTTAATAATTTTTAAAATAAATGTCAAAAGAAAAACATGTCTCAATATTTTATTTGATATTACAAATAATGCTTTTGATGGGAAATTTTAACTGCTAAGTTATTAACAAAGGAAAAATATACAAGATTATTTACAATCATTTATATACACAAATGGGTAAAGTATAATAATTAAATGCCCTATTTTTTCTTATTCTTTTCTATATTCTTTTTGAATAAGCAAAAGTTAACAAATGTAGCAGAAAAGTAAATAAAAATATTGAAAATTTGTACTCACATAGCCAAACCTAAAATGGTTTCATGTTTATAGTTATCATCCTCTGTAAAGCGTAAAACATCCACTCCTGACAAAAAGAAATATAATTTGATATTCTTTCTACAAATATATTAGTTTAAACATTACTTGACTTAAAGCAAGATCTAATTACTTCTACATAATTTGAGAATATTAAGAGTTAATGCAAAGTGTATAACTCCAAAAGAGATCATATAAAAGCTTTACACTGCCAAAACACTTAAAGTAGTTTTTTATGATTGTAAAATTTTAAGCACAAGTACAGAATGCATAAATGCACATATTTTCCAAGAAAAAAACTTGTAAAATTTAAAATTTTTTTACATTTACTTGTTAATAAGGATAATTAAAGAATATGTTACCTTCAGGTATTTTTTATACTATAGTTAGTTTACAAATCTATCATATAATGGGGCTGAAGTAACTATTTTAAGTTTACAAAAAATAGTATCTTGTACATTAATATAAAAATTCATGAATAGGTAAAATGTCAATAACTAAAAATTAGGTATGTGTTTCAGTAATTAATATTGAAAAACTTTATTAAAACAAATGTATATCTGATGTCAGAACTATCCACCTTTTATGTAACATTTTATATCAAGAAAAACAACAATTATGTAATGAAATTAGTGCTATTGGAAATTTTATAAGTGCCCAGAACAGTTATAAACTTCAACTTTGATATTTTATCAAAAACTTATAAATTTATTTTCATGCAGAAGTAAAAATGTTTGCAAATACATAAATTTTATTACATGATTAGAATCATGTAACTAATTTTTTCAGTTCAGCTATTTTAAAAAATTGGTTTTAGAGGTGTTAAAAGTGTTCCTGTTAGTGGTGCAAAGATTTTACATAACTTTTTATTAAGTTTTACAATAACGCCAATCCAAAACTTTGAAATAGATCTAATAATGCTCTAATTATATTTAGAGTATAAACATGGAAAAAAGTTTTTTTTTTAAAAAGTCAATTATAGAAAACCTTCCTTAGTTATTTAGTTTTAGAGTATATGTGGTATTAAACAACCACTTAAAATATACATACTCCCAGATAATTACTTTTCATCATGTAATCTTGGTACAGAATTTAAAAAAAGGTTTTAAAGTTTCAAAATAACATCATTTAATGCTAATTACTTAATACTATGTAATTCAATTAGAAAGTTTTACTATAAATCTTTAACTTCAATACCTCTTCCTAATCCTTGAAGAGTTTTTGCTTGACAATAATCTTTTGAGAGTCCACAGTAGTTTTGTAGTCTTTCCACTGATTTCTGAACTTCTGGTAAATCAGGATTTTCAACTAAGTACATGGCTACAGTTGAGATAATATGAGAAGGTGGATAATTGAACATTTTTGCAGGTGCAGGTCCAGTATCTGGCCATAAGGCAAGGTAAATATTAAGAGAATAGTAGAATTCAGCCAACTGTAAAGCCAAGGCTGTATTAGGTAGTTGACTGAAACATTGGTCTGCTAATTCACACTAGAAATAAAAAAAAAAAAACATACTTGAGATTATTATGATAATTTTTTTTTATCCCAAGCAAGGCAAAACCCACTAAGATGCAAGGGTTTACTAAGTGTGAGAGAATATGAGAAAAAACATAAACACAATTAAGGAGAGAGAACAATAAAAGATTTAAGATAGAAAATAATGATTGACAATGCATTTAAATTTTTGAAGATCAACGTTAACTCAGAACAAGGAAGCCGGAAGAGAGTTCCACAAGTGAGAAATATGATAGAAAAAGTGGTTAGCATAGAACATACAGTTACATTTAGTTCCATTTCAAGTGTAAAATGATGAGACCTAGCCGTCAATCTCGTACTGCATTTAAATTCATAAAGTTTAGGTACCATGGAGAAAAGTTCATCAGAACAATTACCATGAAAGTATTTATAAAAAAGGTATAGGTATGTTACATTACAGTTGCGGGAAAATGATTGAAGCCAAAATACCAGGTTAGGATCAATAACATTACAGATTTTTCTTTGGATTTTATCAAGAGCAGGAGCACCAGACCACATGTGGCAGCAATATTCAAAGCATGGACAAATGGAAGACTTATAAATATGTAAGAAAAATTGTCTAGCATGACACTGAACTAACTTTCCTAACAGCAGACCTAGCAATTGATTCAATATAATCTTTCTACTTCACATCGACAGAAAACAGTAATCTCCGAAGGTTAGCATGCTGTTGGAAGGCAAAAAGGGGTTTTCTCAGATTAAAAGTGCAGTTTCATTTTGGTGGCATTAAAGTTAACAAGCCATGCTTTGCTCCAGTCAATAACAGAGGGGAGATTATTTTTGAGATCAGCTGCCAATTTGATCTTATCAGACAAATCAGACTTACTATTAAGGTATGTGTAAATAGTTGTATAATCAGTATAGATACCAAGCTGAGAACTGATGACATAGAAATTTGTAACACTGTAGGTCCAAAGATGGGAAACACATGCATTAATGCGAATAGATCTAGAAGTGTAGTCATTTAGGTCAAATTACATTTCATGATTTGACAAGAAAAAAAACAATCAGTTCAAAAATTAATTCAGAAATACCATAACCTTTCAATTTGTGAAGAAGACCAATATGCCAAACCCTGTCAAGTGTGTTCAAAATATCAAAAGCAACAGCCTGAGCTTCAGCATTCATATCAGCTTGATAGACTCTTTCAGAAATAATCTTTAATACATCAGTAGTTGACCTAGAGAAGCGAAAGTCATATTGCTTATCTGAAAGAAGATACTGATGTGAGATAACCAATTCAAAAATTAATTAGAGCCTCTCGTACTTTACCAAAAAGAGGTAGAAGGTAATAGGATGGTAAAAGGATCAGATAGTTCACCTGAGTTCTTAAAGACTGGAATTATAGAAGAGGATGTCCAACAAGCAGGAAAGCAAGAAGCAGCAAGGCCTTTAGAGAGAAGAGGAGCACATTTCTTAACCTTCATGAAGATCCAGTTTAGAGATGATAGCAGAATCCATGGACAGAGTTATATACATATCACTCAATAGAGACTCAGTTCTAAGTGGAATGTCAGGAAAAGAATTGAATTTGAAGAGAATTTACAAGTAAAACATTCCACTTTATCAGTAGATGTTAACATCACAAATTGGAGACAGGAGGAATAGAAGACATACTTTTATTTAACACACTATTAGAGAGTTACCAGTAATCATGAGAGCCAAACTTGTTAGAAACTATACAATGCCACATTCTATCAGTAGTTGTGGCAGTGTTTGAGGAAGATATCATTTGTGTGCTTTTTTGAATGACTTTTTCTGCAATACAGTTGAGTAGGAAATTCCTTCTGCTTTGTAGGGAGTAACCAGATAGGAAAAGTTTTTTGTATGTGAAAATATAATGTTGTTGCTGTCTCTTTGAAGTGGTTTTCATGTTCAGACAAAATGAGTAAACATCAAATGCAGATCAAATATGGATCAGAATCTGACAGGAACAAAAAGCACTTTTAAAGTACTGAATAACACAAGTGATATTTTCCCCATTCACTTTTGATTTATTTTTAGATAAATATTTTGAAAAACTATATTTTTTAGTAACTGATGGTTTGACTTCAAATGATTTAATCATTATAATGTTAGTGATGTTGCCAGTATTAGACTTTCAATTTTTCCGTTGCTCAGGCTTTCAGTTAAATAGTGGATTTCCCTATTCATTTCCCTAATAAATTTGATCAACATTCTTCTTTAATTGATTTGTTTCTTACCTAGTTCTTGTCAAGCATCACAACTCTGTCTTCTTAGCAATTCAGATCATGTTGTAGTATCTGTAGATATCTTTTAATTATCTATTAGAAAGAAACCTCCTATTCATAAGACATTTTTCTGTTTCCAGCATACTGATTGGAATTCATTTCACGGCTTACTTTGAGATGATCTTTGGATTGATATCCTTAATCATCCCATTGAGAATTGTGCCATTGAGGTTTCTTGTGTTCAAACAGGCATTGATGCTTTTGTATCTTCTCATAAATACCAGGTGAAAATCACAATCTTCTCCTTGGTTCACACCCACCTGTTTAGCTGCTATAGCCTACAGGAATGACTTTTTCCATGTGTACCAGCATGGTAGTTCCAATCACAACAGATATTTCACTTCTATATGAAATAAATGAAAAACAGACACAGGGTCAGTAACTGAAAGTCTAACCATAAATCTACTGAAGGCTGACTTGGTTTATATATTTTTTGCTTTCAACAGGGAAGGACAAAGGTCTATTTGTTTGCCTTTTTACTCCAGGGTAGTTCGGGTTACCAAAGATTTTTTTAACAAAAAAAAATATAAAAGGGACTTATCTTTTTTCTACAACTTGAATGGACCTTGGAAAAGTATTGCTGCTAGAAATTATTCAACTTCTTATTCAAACTTTTTTCTCCAAGGAGAAAAGATTTAATTTGTTCACCCCACCCCCTGTCAAATGCTATTATCATAGTTTTTTCTAGAGAAAAGACTACAATTATTATTTTTTTTCTTTCCTTGTGTATTGAAATGTTTCAACACTTGTATTTCTTGGAAATTTATATTCATGTTATCTTCATCTCGAGGGGACCTTTTTTATCATTGGGATATTAATGCTAACCCATTATTGCATTAACTTCTCTCCACAGTGTGAAGTCCTTTATAGAACTATTGGTCTTAGTTTGCTCTCTATTTCTGTTCTAACATGCTTTAATTGTCACTAACATTAGTCAGCTACCAATTTGGAGTGACACACTCCAAACCCTAAATTGTTAACAGGCATTGGCCGTGGTGCTAAAAGGCACCATCACAATACCAAAATTTGAAACCCCAGCAACTGGATAAGCATGCTGGGGCTTTTTTTTTTATATATATTACTGTTTGCTTGTTAATGACTGGTGTTTTTTTTTTTTTGTTCCTTATCAGCTTGTTGGCTTTTCCAACTGATTAAAAGATTCCTTTAAAGTTTATTTCTATTCTTCCTCAATGTTTTGAATATTTTATGACATTTACTCTGTTATACTTGTATTTTCTAACATTTTGTGACATTTAGTTATAATCTGATATTGTTTGCTCAACACTTTGCAATGTTTAGTCATAATCTGTTATTATTTTCCCATCACCTTTGTTGTAACTTGTACTCACCAAGAAGCTTGATGTGGAGGGGGGAAGCAATATTGTGTGGTGGTCAGTCAAGGTAAAAAAGTAGGGAATCTGTTTTTCTTTGTAGACCAGTTTTTATGTTTGCTGTTTTAGTAGATCCTATCTGATTGGATGGATGAGACTACAATACATTTAAATGAGACTGTCTGGAAAGCTATAAAGGAAATCCATTTCACCTTCCATAGAGTTATTATAGTTATTTTGTTAAGATTGTTAGTCTGTTAGACTACTGTTATGATTACAAGGACAAACATTGCTTGTAAGCAATGAGGCAGTTCATTGCAATCTCAAACCATACCTGGGGACACTATGAAGTGCTACTACAACAGGCAAGTATTCTATCATTTTTTCTCCTTTCACATTGAGTTTTGGGTACAATGCTTCTGTGATGCTTGTCCGAGTTTCCCTCTCCCCCAATTCATCGGCATAAAAAAAATCCAACACTTTGCAACAAAGCTGCATCAGATTAAAATCCCTTGGACCATTTACTCTTGTCATCGGTAACAAATGGATGATCCTGTTACCTGGTAAGATCTAAAGAAAAGACAAAACAAAAGATAAGATCAAAAGTAAAGGGACTAAAAGAAGAGCGATGTGTTCTCTTTTTTTGAAAGAGAAATCACGGGATGGTTGGAAGAGCTGGAAGCAGTGTCGTGGAACATGGAAGAGTAACTGGCTGCCAAAGAGAAGGCAGATTCATTGGCCAAATTATTCAGGACTCTTTCAGGTTTAGGAGGGATGCGCAACAGCAATTAGGAGTTTTACAGAGTATCAGTGAGGGAGACACTCCAAGGAAGAAAACCAAAGGACTCCTGAAGTTGACAAGACATTCAACTCACAGAAACAGGATGCATCTGGTATGCCAGGAGCAACTAGATCCTTCCCTTTAAATCCATAAGCCCATTCATCCATTTCAGGAGAGCCCTTTAAAATAAAATTGAAGAGGCCATATGGGAAAGTGGGGAAGACTATGAAACCTGCTAAAGGAGCTTTAAGGATTTTTTCATCAAATTTGAGAATTGTGCAAAATCTATACTGTCTGCAACTGGCAAGTTGCATTTTTTAAGATGTTCACTGGAGAATAGGGCCCTTCAACTCATTGACCACCTTTCAGTATCTGAAGAGAACTACCCAGTGGCTCTGAAGTTGTTGAAAAACCAGTACCTGGACGAGGAAGAGATAAGAGGAGAGATCATCCAGGGAATATTGGACTTTCAACTGGAGAATCCTAAAGACCTGGTGGAGTTAAATGATCTTATCCTAAAAACCCAGGCAACACAGGCTATGCTCATTAATGCTGAAACAGTTGGCAGGTTGATTTTGTTCAGCAGCAT